GGGGGGGGGGGGGGGGGGGGGTAGGGTAGTTTTCTCAACTTAGAATGGTTTCCCGCCCGAACGGAAAGGGCCAAAGCATACTACAAAATGGATTTCATGTCAAATAAAAAATCTACAAAATGACCAAATCTCATAGGTTATTCTCCTGTATGTCCGACCCATGAGATTCGCAATACATCAACGGCAGAGCTTCGTCCCACCATGCCACACGTGATAGAAAACTCAGCGTTGAGAAAACTCAACTTGGGCGGTGGGACTTCACCCGTGGCATTTTTCATGGAATGCTGGCGGCGCTGAATTTCAGGCATGCCAAAAAAAAAAAAAAAAAAAAAAACTACATGAACCAGTAGTAGTAGCAAAAAAAGCACCACACATGCTATGAAAACTAGAGAGAGGTGGATGGGTGTTGGCTTAGTGGTTGGTAGGGTAATGGTCCTGAGTGTTGGTCACACTGAGGTAGGATAGTGGGATAGGGGGTGCGCTACGAGTATTGACATGAGGATGGGATGGGAGGTGGTCTCATATTCCAGGACACCCACGGCCTACTGCTCCAGGTGATCATTGTGTACACAGTGACTGGCCTCTACAACACCATGGACTTGCAAAGAAGAAAAAAAAAAAGAGCACCGGTTGGAAATGTGAATTGCGGTATGAGGTTGCGGGTTCAAAACTCCGTTGTGAAACGGTTTCGCCCAGGTGACTGGCCTCTACAACACCATGGACTTACAAAGAAGAAAAAAAAAAAAGAGCACCGGTTGGAAATGTGAATTGTGGTACGAGGTTGCGGGTTCAAAACTCCGTTGTGAAACGGTTTCGCCCAGTTGACCCGACATTTGCAGACACAGAGATTCGATCCCTAGACCTGTGCCCGAGCCCTGTACATGTCTCTTATACACATCTAGATGTGTACGAGGTTGCGGGTTCAAAACTCCGTTGTGAAACGGTTTCGCCCAGTTGACCCGACATTTGCAGACACAGAGATTCAATCCCTAGACCTGTGCCCGAGCCCTGTACATTGACCCTCTGTGCTGAGTGAGATTCGATCCCTAGACTTACCCTGTACCTTGAACATAGACCTAGTGATCTGTGTGGGACTCGATCCCAGGACCTGTCCTACCCCCTAGGCTAGTCTGTAGGTCGGATAGGAGGACTGGATCCCTAGGTTTGTAGATTAGGATTTAGGCCTGTTACCGTTAGGCTTAGAAAGGTCTGTTCTGGAAGTCTCTTGTCTACTGAGGCCTAGAGTCGGTCTGTAAGTCTGTAGGCTCTAGAAGGTTGTAGGTCCTTGTAGGCCAGTCCAGTCAGCAAGTACCAGTGGTAGGGGCTGCACATGGGGAAGGTTTTGGACCACGTGGTGGGTTCCGCGTGTTTTGGCCCAGAAGGCCAAACATCTGGAAGCTTCCCTGGGCCACGCGTTTTGGCCCAGGCCTATGTGTTTTTAGGCAGGCCCGGGTACCTCCGAAGGAGTATAAATACACGGGCAGCGTCCAGCCATTCATTCATTCGCATGTGAGCCATGCGGAAGAGCTGCCTCGGTATCTTGTGCGTGGAGGTCTGCAGATGCCCGGAGAGGAAGTGGGCAGTGAGCAAGACAGTGGCCATAGATGGGCAGTGAGGAAGATGACGACGGCCATAGCTAGGAGGAGGAAGACGACGATGGCCATAGCTGCTCAGCTGTTATCACAGACAGGGTGTACAAAGTGTGTGTAGCTGTGTAGCATGGGCATTGAGGGTAGATTCTCGTACATGGGTGCAAGAGGGAGAGTGAGGCTGGTGGTGGAGACGGTCGGCGGCCATAGCCGCAAGTTGTACAGATGACTTGGACTGAGTTTTAATACAAGTTCATTTTTGACTCTGAGTTGAAGAGTTTGGTTTTGTCACGAGTTCGTGTGCGTGCATGTAAGCAAGTCTGAAGTCGAGTCCGATTGCACCGGTATCGAAGCTGGTTCCCGTTGTCCACGTTGGAGCTGCAGCGAGTTGGAGGTGAGAGAAGCCGCCATAGCCAGAGTACAACAAAGTGATAGAAACAAATAGAGAGAGAGAGAGAACGTAAAAGTGGACGGCAGCCATAGTTGCCGAGCTCGGAGAAGAAGAAGACCACCATCAAGAAAGGAGAAAGAAGGGACGCAGAGAGAAAGAAGAGGGAAGTGGACGAAGAGGGAGGTGAAGTCTGCCATAGCCAAGGTGAAGAAGACGGCGAGAGTGACAAAGAAGGTCCACCATAGCCGGAAGGTTGGAGGGTTGACCAAGGGAGTTGACCAACGTTGACCGGAGGTTGACGGAGATTGTTAACGAAGTGTTGATCAAAGTTGATCGGAGCATTGAGCAAGACCGTTGATCGGCGAGCTGACCAAGACCATTGACCGAAGCGTTGACCAAGTTGGAGCGAGAAGACGAACGGTACCGTCTTTCCAAGCCTTGGCCTAGCCCTTACCACGTGGATGCGCACCTTCACCTTGGTACTTGCCGACGTCGAGTTTGTTAGAGGCAGTCAATCATATCTCCCTGTCACTTATGTTCAGGTCAATAGGATTGTGGATGTGGTCGTAGAGTCGTGAGTCTTACCCGAGTAGTGATTATTAGTCCCCTAGATATAAGCTTACCTTGTGGGTTTACGTGTTGAGGCGCGAAATCATTGTTGATTGTGCACTTTCACCATGGTGAGCCTCAGGTCCGGAACTAGCACCACCCCCTACAGCAAGGAGCAAGAGCAGAGAGTTGCCGCCCTTCTGCAAGAAAGGAAGGAGAGAATGGAGAAGAGGGAGTTGATCAAGCAAGCCAAGATGTTGGCCCTGCTAGAAGAGCAGAAAGAGAAGAAGAGGCAGATAAAGGAGGAGATGGAGAAGTGGACGAAGGAACAGGAGGAGAAGATGGCGGCTATACAAGCGGAGGTGGAGAAAGAAGAAGAAGAAGAAGAGGTTGAAGAAGAAGTGCCATTGGAAAGAAGAAGAGGTGAAGCTTGTACAAGTAAGGAGGAGGAGATTGAGAAGATGACGAAGGAATGGGCCGCACACTTGGAGTTGGGAGAAGATAGGGAGGCAAAGTTGGCCATACCCCAAGAGGAGAGAGAAGCGGCAAGAAAGGACTTGGAGGCAGAGAGGGACCCTGTGAGGAGGGCATGGAAGTGGTGATTGTCCCAAGAGAAAGGCGTTTAGAAGCGGTAAAGAAAGCAGAAAGGGACTTAAAGGCGGCAGAGGCCAGGATGGGGAAGATCAGGGTCGAGACCGAGCAAGCTACCAAAGTCGAGACCTTGACCCGGAGCGTAGAATCCCTACTAATTGCACACCGCAAGCAGATGCAATACATCAGCAGTCAAGATATAAAGTTAGATGCGATGCGCGCAGGGTTCAAAGATTTCGCGTAGGACATGATGAAATACATGGTGGGCCAAGTCCACCTGGCGATTAGTAAGACGAAGGAATTCTGCACTGGCGCCATTGAAGGTGACAAGTGAGCGTCTGCTAAGGAAGAAGAGCCGGCCCCACCGTGTGGCGGTCAAGTCAAAGCAGTTCGCACTAGAGGAAAACATCTCGCAGAAGCTCTTACCTGCGTATAGAGGACCACGGCGTGTCCTAGAAGTCAAAGGGGGAGAGGAAGGCCCGTCATATACGATAGAGATTCCACCACATCTCCTCACGTACCCAATCTTCCATGCGTCCTAGTTGTTGCCTTGCACCACATCCGATAGATTCCCTTCCAGGAGATCGATGATTCTGCCAGACATGGATGGTGCATACGATATAGATCGCATAGTGGAAGAGGACGTGTTCAGGACAGGAGGTCGAGGCCGTCCCCCAGAAATAGTATAAGGTTAGGTCGCATACCAGGAACCCTCGAGGTCGACAGATGGTTTACCAGAACAGAGCTCTTAGAAACCGCTCCCCACATAGTACACGCTGATGAGAGAAAGAAAGGGTAAAGGTCCTATCTTGAGTTAGAGTGTTCTCGGAGTACCTTGAATTTAGGACGGCGGAAGTGAAACGGTTTCACCCAGTTGACCCGACATTTGCACACACAGAGATTCGATATCCAGACCTGTGCCACAGCCTTGTACATTGACCCTGTGTGCTGAGTGAGATTTGATCCCTAGACCTACCCTGTACCCTGTACATAGACCCAGTGATCTGTGTGGGACTCGATCCTGTGACTTGTCCTACACCCTAGGCTAGTCTGTGGGTCGGATAGGAGGACTCGATCCCTAGGTCTATAGATTAGGAGTTAGGGCTGTTACCGTTAGGCTTAGGAAGGTCTGTTCTAGAAGTCTCTATCGGAGTCTACTGAGACCTAGAGTCTGTCTGTAAGTCTGTAGGCTCTAGAAGGTCGTAGGTCACTGTAGGCCAGTCTAGTCAGCAAGTACCAGGGATAGGGGCTGCACGTGGGGAAGGTTCTGGACCACACAGTGGGTTCCACACGTTTTGGCCCAAAAGGCCAAACGTCTGGAAGCTTCCCTAGGACACGCATTTTTGCCTAGGTCCACGCATTTTGAGGACCGGGTACCTTCGAAGAAGTATAAATACAGGGGCAGCGTCCAACCATTCATTCATTAGCCTATGAGCCATGCGGAAGAGTTGCCTTGGTATCTTGTGTGTGGAGGTCTGCAGGTGCCCGGAGAGAAAGTGGGCAGTGAGGAAGACAGCGGCAGATGACGGTGGTCATAGCTAGGAGGAGGAAGACGATGACAGCCATAGCCGCTTGGCTGTTGTCACAGACAGGGTGTACAGAGTGTGTCTAGCTGTGTAGCGTGGACATTCAGGGTAGATCCTCATACATGCGTGCAAGAGGGAGAGTGAGGCTGGTGGTGGAGACAGTGTTCAGCGGTCATAGCTGCAAGTTGTACAGATGACTTGGACTTAGTTTTAATACAAGTTCATTGTTGACTCTGAGTTGAAAGAGTTTGGTTTTGTCACCAGTTATTGTGCATGCATGTTGTAAGCAAGCCTGAAGTCGAGTCTGATACCCCCTTGGGCTGACACATGTAAGCTTTTACAGGCACTGCCTGTGCAGGAACCGAAAGTTCTTCCATGGTGTTGTATGTTTGGTCTAGACTATGATTGGTTCGCTTGTCGTTCTTGGTCCATGGTGGTTCTGATAATTGTGCAGTTGTTTCCCTATCTCGTACTTCGCATCAACCAGACTAGTTGTCACTATAGCTCAGTAGGTTTGAGCTGAGGACTGTATGGAAGAGGTTGACGGTTCGAAATTGGATCACATTGAACTAAGCGACCTACAGAGTGTTGTTGTTTATCCTCCTTGTCTGTGGTCATGGGTATCTTGGTGTAACAGAACGGGCTCCAGGTATTCGGCATGGGTTCAGTTGTGGTTGGCATCACAGTTACCTTAGTACGGGCTTGTCGGGGTGATGGAACTGGCTCCAGGTGTTAGTCCGGATTCAGTCGAGGTTGGCATAGCAGTTACCTTAGTACGGACTTGTCGGCGTACTGGAACGGGCTTTAGGTGCTGAATTTGGGGGGTCCTGTCGTGGTTGATATAGCAGTTTCCTTAGTACAGACTTATCGGTGTACAGGAAAAGGTACTGATCCAGAGGGTTCTAGTAGTGTGGCTGGCATAGTTGTCACCTCAGTACAGACTTATCGAGGTACCAGAATGGGCTTCGGGTACTGGTCCACCGTCCAAAGTAGTGTGGCTGGCGTAGCTAGCACCCCAATACTAGCTAAGATCCTACAAATGAACGAAGGATCTTCAGCTCTCCGTCTCATAGTACAAATTGGCCTAGTAACTAGGCTATCACTTGGGATATCAGCTCATCTATCACTAGGACATCAACTTACCTATCAACTAGGGGTATCGGTCCCCCTATCGACTAGGTTATCAATTGGCCTATCTACTAGGCTATCAACTACGATCTTAAGTCTACTATGCGAGATGGGAGTCACTGTGCACCCTCGTGAAGACTTGTAGTATAATGTTCATACCTAGCGCCCGAAGTCCCCGTGCAATTGGGCTTGCACGGCATCTTCTTCAACCAGGGCTGAGCAGGGGGTAGGGGTCTCTGCTTAGCCCGGGTGCCTGCAACTGTTGCCTGGTTAGTTCACCCCACCAAGACGGTGATGGGTGATCGGTTAACACTAGGGTAGGACAGGGGGGTGGGGGTGAGCCAGGGCAAAAAGATGAGAGGAAGGGTGGGTGGGGTCTCCAGAGGGGTTCGTCTGGACAATCAAGTGGCCGATTACTGTGGGTGATTGTCATCTGCCTAGTATCCCACGTCTACAACAACTTGGGCTTTAAGAAAAAGATTGCGACATGATCCAGGCTGTTCACCGCAGGGTTTTAAACCACTAGTAACTCCGCTAGTGTTGGGAAAATAGGGAAAAGGAGTTGTTTTCCCAGTGTCCCCGAAGAGTTTGGAGGTTCTAGAGGCTCAGCAAGAAGAATAAAGTTTAGTTTGATATTGCCCGCTCGTGAAAGGGGCAAAAAAAAAAAAGATACTTTCTCTAGTGCAATGATGTTGGGCAGGGTAGTCTAGGAGGCCGTGCTCACTGTAGTCCACAAAAGGAATCATGCTGCTAAAATGGTCAGATTGTGCATGTTGTTGCTTTCTTTCCTTTCTTACTCTTGCGAGTCCCCTGCCAGCGAGGCGGGGCGTAGTCCCTGATTTGCTCAAGCTGGGTTTCCTTAGAGGATTGCAACCGTGATCGCATTGGCACTCAGAGGAATGTATCCAGCAATATCACGGTCGGACCTGTGTTTCCTTTTTTTTTTTTGGTATTTCTTGAATTGGACACTCTGGCCACGGGGCTGAGATGCCTTCACTGAGGGCTCTCGCTACCACTTCCAAGAATGTATACAACTGCATTTTTATTTTTATTTTTCACACAAAACGCACAAGCCCCTTCTATTATGGGGGGCGTCAGTCCGGTTGCTTACAAGAAACAACGAGAGAAGGAAAGCAAAGAAGACTCAGCCAAACCCTGGCAGTGCGAGTCACCTGCTGAAGGTGGGGGGGCTGCCATGAGCGCCCCCGCCCGAAAACCATAGCCTTATTGGCATACTTTTGCTGGTCGGGAAGCTTACTGGCAGCACCCAGTCATGCAGCAAAAGAGTTTCAGGAGAGGCGAGGCGGGGGGGAGGCCGTCCTAGCAGCTTCACAGCCCGCAAAACCCAACCTCGGTCATAGCTACTCGAGCAACACAAAGACCACAAAAACTATAAGGTACCAAGCATCATTAGTACTAGTCTCCTTCCTACATATGCCCTCCTACCTTCGATAAGAGTCTTCCTAATCTTTACTCTCGGTATTTCCCCTGGTCTTTCCCCTTGGATTTAGTTCCATGGGGCACATCCTATTTATCCTGCCTTGCATTCATAAATAGTAATCCCTAGCTTGTACCACAAAGTTGTCCTTTTTGTCAATGTGAGACTCCCCCCTCCCCCTTCTCCCTTTCCTACTACCTCCCCACCCCCCCCTACCTGCTCGAAGACTAACTACTGTAGTGGGCCAAATGTAGTACACTAACAACGGTAACGCTACATAATTACTATCACTTGTACATTCCGGCATCCGCTCGTGGTCACACGAGCCTGTCTTCGTCAGGCCCGCTCTTTCTATGTCAGGTCCGGGCACATAGCATCGCAGGGCTGGGCCATACTCCAGCCGTTCTGTGTGGGGGTCCCAAGTCACCAGCTGCGGATATGGATCCCATCTCTCCCATAATCCAGTCACCTTAGCATTCCCAATACGGTTGCTCCGGCGGAAGTCCGCCATCAGGGCGATCCTGATGTTCTCCATTACCCGCTCCTGATATGCTCGTAACGGCGGAGTCGCGCCTTGCCTGCATCGCTCGTTCCTTAGTGTCCATAGGGCCCACAAGACCGCTGCCCGCACAACTTCTTTTGCCATCAGGTCCCAAAGCCCGATATGTTAACCTTTATCAAGGTGCTCAGAAGGATCGCCGCAGCATCCGTTTCGTCAACGTTCAGTGGCGTTTTGTCTACAATATCCTCTGTTCACCACAACCAGAATGCCTCGACCTCCGGACATCGCAGGAAGAGGTTGGGAAAGGTTTCCTCCTGGCCACATCCTGCAGTACATGTCCGATCTTTAAAGCGGCTTTTAGTAGCTTGCGATTGTGCTGTCGGGATCGCCAGGTGGTAGATTTGCCACAAGAGGCCAGCGTGCTTTGATTAGGAAGGGCTGCCATGAGTACATACTGCTCATTCCATTTGTGTTGTGTCCATCTATCCACATACGCGCTAGGGAGTCAATCCCGCTTAGCCCAACGAGCCTTCAAGTTGTTGCGGATGTTCTTAGGTTCTAGCAGGGAGTTGTAGATTATTCTTCGTAGTGACGTCCTGGAGCAATATGCCGCGTTTGTGCATTTCACGGCCAATACTTCCCGTCCCCCCCCTTCTTTTGTGAGTTTCACGACACTTTTGTTCTTTTTTTTTCTTTTGTTCTTTCCGTGAGAGTACGAGAAAAGAAACTGGAGTGGGACCCAGGCTCCGCAAAACTTGGAGCGCAGTAAAATTCAGGCTCGACAAAAACATGCCCGAAGGTGCTAGTGCAAGGAATATGCAAGGAATATGAGCGAGAGCAGTAGACATAAATCCAAGTTGCAAAATCACGAAGTAGCTCAGATAGTCATGAACCAAGCAGAGAGTGCAATGCACCAAGATACCGCCCAAATAAGAGCAATAAGATGAACTCGATTGTCAATGTGGCCACTCTCTGGTCACACCAACACTGTATCCAATGTCGCACTTACTATCTGACACCCAGCGCCCAACCTATCCTACTCAGCCTATCTAACCTATCTACGTTCTCACAATTGGATCACTCTGAAGTCGAAGACCAATGTATGTGACATCAACACCAATGCTGATCACCAGCATACACCAGGTACGTTCTCTCTCCTCTCGTCATCACCCCTCTTTCCCCTCAGGATGCGCCTCCTACCCGAAGACCTCCTTCGCCATCACCTGCCTTGTGCCCCTGCAGCCCGGCTATGGCTGTTGTGCGCCCGCTGCCCTTGCAGCGCCCGTCACCTCAGCTCCCATGCGCGCTTCCGACCAGCAGCGTCCATGCAGACACTTGCGCAGCAACGTAGCAGCCTGTCCGCATTGCCTGCCTAGGCCAGAATGCCATGCCTGGGCTGGCCTCTTTCCTTTATGGAAAGTGCAGCCCCTGGGCCTGGCTGGGGAAGTTTCCAGTAGCTTTTAGTCGGGCCCCAGTCTCTGCGTTTAGGCCCACCTCTACAGTTAAGGGCTTGGGCTCTTCTCGGTTGGGCACATATAGGTAGCCCCGCAGGCTCCAAGGGTTGGCTACATTCTCATTGGCTCGCGGAGATTGTGTGACGACAATGCCGCTTTTTCATTCGTCCGTGGCGGCTACATGTGTGTCGGCCTCACGTTGCATGTGCCCAGGGCGTAACCACCCGGCCCTGGGCTCAACAGCACAGCGCAGTCCTTGTTTTTTGGAAATAGCCTGGAGGCTCACGTTTTCCTGCAACCAACCGGCGTGCTGCAACTGTCTGTGTGCCCACATATGGAAAATGTTGAAAATAGGCCTCTTATGGATATTCAGGCCTGCGTTCACTTAGGGCGGGCAGTTGCTTGTCGGGGCCCACAACTGAGAACACTTGCATGTCTATTAGGGGGCCGTGGGGCCTCAGTCCTTGCATTCCATCCCCCTTAGCTTCGAAAGTCCGGTGATATGCTTCTACGCAGGTGCTTTCCCCTTTAATCTCCATTTGTATTCTGCCACGAGCTAAGGCGCTGCCTTGACAAGCTCCTCTCTTGCAAACCAACGATCTTCTTTCGGATCCGTATCATGCCTGAACCTGACCCGGTACTCTCTCACAGGTTTGGGGGTCTTCCTCTGCCCACTAGCTTGGGAACAAGCAAGTCTCTGTGTTCCAGAATATCGTCAACGTCCACGTGGCCATCCATGGTTGGGGGAAGCATTGACCTTCTTGATGGGAACAGATCAGTCTCAATGAATGGTGCAAGCTTTGAAGCGTGAAACACAGGGTAAGTGTGCAAATGTCTATGGATTCTAATGACATACGATGGTCCATTCAAATCACTACCCACAATATCCAGGACTTCCCAAGGAGCGAAATATTGAGGCAAATAGTTTTCTAGAGATGCCAAATTTCTGACCCCGTTCGCTAGCCTTCACCCAGACACGTTCCCCTACCTTAAATGTGGTATGTCGTTTGTGTTTGTTCTTAGAGGCAATCATGGCCTATTGAGACTTCCTAATGTGCTTGACAGCCTGCTGCAACAACTTTTCATACTGGACTCCAAAGGCGTTGCACCTGGTCGATTTTCAGGAAGGAGGAAGTCTAGTGCAGATCTAGGTTTCCATCCCGCGTGCAGCTCATTCGGAGACGCCTGTGGTGTTGTGACTGCGTTGTTATACAGACTGGTGATGAGAGGCAGCTTCTCATCGCAATTGCAGTTAGACTTGTCCTCGTCTCACGTTCAACATGCATACATGCAGCTTGCGATGGCAACAAAAACTTCCACAAATGCAGTATTAGTAACAAACTTGAGATGGCGCAGTGCGCCCACACAAAAGCTCAGAGGTATGGCCTTCGAAAGCTAGCGCTACTGAACAAAACAAAATTGGATGATTGGATAGGGCCTCAATTTTCGGGAAAGGAACTCAGCTCAAAACAACTTGTCACATCTCATGGCTATGGCGTCTGAGCACCAGTCTGGAATTCCCATCCGAACATTGTAACTACCGTCAGACACACTCACACACGCGTACACACCACTTGGATCTACCCTAAATGTGTGCACCTACGCTTCACACACTATCCCCTAACTTCTATAGATAGGCGGCTATGGCCGCTGCCTCCTCCTAGCGGCTATGGCCGCTCACCCTCTTCCACTGTCGGGCTATTTGCGGACCACCGGTGAACTCAAGGCACAAGTCACTAGAGCAGCACTTGCACGTAATTCCGCAGATGATGAGTGAATGATTGATCGCTGCCTGTTTATGTATATTGTTCCGCTTGGTGGTCTGGGCCTGCTGATGTCCGAGGCCCTCGAGATGTGCAGTCCCCACTCTGGTACTTGCTGCGAACGGACTGGACTGGGACTGCCTTTTCATGTGTGCCTTCAGGGCTGACGAAGGACTCTTGACCTTTCAAAGATTTGATGGGCTGGCTCTACCGACTTTGAAAGGTCAAGTTGACTCTTGAAGATCTACTTTAGCTGCGACCTACTGACCTTTCAGAGGACGTATGGCCACCTACAAACGAACCTAAGACTTCTAAACACTAGACTTATGGATCAAACCCACATGATCCATTTGTACAAGGTCTTAGGGATAGGTCGCGGGTTCAAAGCACACATGGTCAACGGCAACTATGGAGCGGATTAGGGAAGGTTTGGGGATGAAGTCCTGACACCTGCAATGTTGTGCAAACTGGGTGAAACCCTTTCACTCCTGCCGTCCTAAATTCGAGGTCCTCCGAGAACATTTTAATCCAAGGCAGGACTTTTACCTTTTCTTGCTCTTTCGTAAGCATGAACTACATTTGGAGCGGTTTCTAGAAGTACTGTTCTAGTGAACCATCTATCGTCCTCAGGTTCCTGGTAAGCGAACCTGACTTTATACTGCTTCTGGGGGGGACGACCTCTACCTCTCGTGCGGAATACATCTTCTTCTAGTATTCGGTCTATGTCATACGAAATACATCTTCTAGTATTCGGTCTATGTCATAGGTGCCATCCATATCTTGCGGAATCATACATCTCCGCGAAGGAAACTGTTCACTAGTGACACAAGGCAACAACTTTGATGCATGAAAGATCGGATACGTGTAGAGGTGAGCTGAAATTTCTATCGTATATGATGGTCCATCCTCTACCCTGTATATGCGGGGAAGAGCTTCTTCTGGTGCGAATTCCTTTGACTTGACCCGAGCTAAGTCGCCTACTCTAAACCGCGAGGGTCTGCGATGCTTATTCGCTTGTTCAATCATGCGATGTTGGGCTTTTCTAAGAGTTTTCGATCACCTTTTTAACTTCCTTCTTGTCCTGCAGAGCACACTCTCTTGTACCGGGAGGTAACCTCTGAATCTGGTCCCGATGTAGTCCTTCAAACGACTTACATGGTCTAAAGGATTATGCAGCTCGTTAGTTCTGGAAGTAGCTAAGTGTACGCTATTTTTATAGGCACTAGCTACTTTGGGAAGCATCTCATCCCAATTCACTTGATCGGGTCTAATATACATTCTGAGTAACTGTTGCAAGATCTTATTCATTTGTTCGATCTGGCCATTAGTCTCTGGATGATGACCTAACGACATCAACAACTTGGAGCCGTAGACTTTCATGAGATCTTGCCATTTCTGGCCGGTAAACCGCGTTGTCGGTGCGAATACCCTTACAAGGGTATCCGCCTTCGTTTTTGCAAGTGATGGAGAATAAGTTTTGAAGTGAAATTTGAGTGCGCAGCATAAGTCGCAGTAGTATTTGCTCTACGCCGATTGAAAGTTTGACTAAAAGTGGAGATTGTGTGGGCGCGCGGATTCAAGGCGCACACGATCTCTTTTCTTGTTGACGATTGTGAAGCCGACGCGGTTGCCGACCAGTTTTTGCTTCTGATTAGGATTAAATGATGTTTTATTTTGATTGGTACGTTTGATTGTGATGCGCGCACGCTCGGATTTCCATCCGGGAGATTCGGTGATCGAGACTGGTGAACGGCAACAAGGGAGCGTAGGAGCGGCGTGCCGAAGGGCAACGGAGTTGAAGGTCGGCAAGGTTATCCCCCTTGGTTTGTTATAGACCCTGACCGCGGGTCTAAAGGGTGGAACCACGGAGGTGACAGTGGTTCATTTCTTCCCCCTCAATTATTTAGATAGTCCTTATTTTTATTGTTATTTTATGCTTGTTTATTTATCCCTTTTTCTTTCGGGCAAGGCTTTGTCCCTGTCTCGAGACCGGGCGTAGTACCAACAGGTTTAGCTCAGTTGGTACACCGATGAGCTGCTGAAATACAAACGAAGGTTTGAATCCCGATACTTTTAGATGAAGGGAATAAAATCATTCTGAATTGTCGGGGCCGACCAGCACAATAATGATATCTCGATGTTGTGGCCCTCTTTGTTGGACGTGGGGTGCCTGTCGACATGCGCTGTTGCAGCCGGTATTGCGGCAAGGAGTGTTTGAAACCCCACGGGAAGCCGTTACGGCATCCGAGGGCCTTGAGCACGCGCCAAGGGTGTTGGCCCACGAGGCGGACAAAACCTCTATGGCGGGGGCCCGCTGTGGGAGCACCTCCAAGTTCCCCAACCACCCAAGATCTGTTGTGAGCGGTTAGAGTGTGAGCATGCCCATTGGGACTTGAAAGAAAGTGAACTATGCCTGGGCAAAGTGGGCCACGAAGGGCTCAGATGGAGGTGCGCTACGATATTGCCTTGCAAATCGTTTGTCGGATTGGGTATAGGGGTGGAAGACTTGTCGAACCGTCTAGTAGGTGGTTCCGTTTGAAGTTTCCCTCGGGATAGCTGGAGCTGTTGAGCAACTTATCGGTCGTTGTGGGGTCGGTCGCTGCGGGGTCTGCTGCTATCGAGAGCTGCACTGAGAGGGATGGTCGTGGAGACGAGCCAAAGGAGAAGGTAGAGGGAACTTGTGCGTAAATCACGCCCGATGCATTATGGGGAAGAGATGGTGGAAAAACGAGTTAAAAGCGCAACAAGTTTTGCCTCGCGCACTCTTGATAGGATCGAGTAAGGCAAGGTGCTAAGTGGAGGTTTTTCACCCAGGTGAGCTTAGTGGTCGTGTTAGTTGTTGTGTTAGAGTAGCGAAGAGGGAGTTAGGAGAGAAAAGAGTTGCGTCGAGGGATGGTGAAGACGAATATGGAGGAAACGGATAACAGGAAACTCACCCGATCCTTGATGAAATCGGGTGAGGGAAAGTGCGATTTAGAGGTTTTGGATTCGGGCGAATATGAATGCAGGGTTAGTTTGAAAATATTGGACAGTTTCGTTGCTACAAGAGTGAAGCGCTGCGCGGTGTGCAAGTAAGACGAGCAGGGGAAAAGCAAAATCTGGCGCGTATCTTCCCAGGCCTTAGCAGAAGATACATTCGGGTTGTTGCGAGATAGCGTGCGCTACAGCCAAGGACTCCGTACGCGAGGGGTCTCCCCGATGTTCAGCGGAAGACTCATTACGATTTTGCGTGCATGGCTCGAGACCAGTGTATACTTCCAGGTTCCGGTGGAAGATTCATACCGACTTCGCCGATTCTATTGATGGAAGTACTCTCTTTTTATCTCTCACGTCACACGTTCTTCGTTTGAGTGTTGGTGCTCGTTGCAACCCCGCTGCTGTGCGTGGTGGTAGCGCTGTTTGCATGGTGTGCAGACCACCCGGATTGCCATCTTAGCACCGCGTCCTGTGTAAAATATGTGAGGGGCATAAAGTGTTCTCCTCGGAATTCGATGGAACCAGGTCGGGCTAACGACCAGGTGCATCTGTAAGATAGGAAGTTACAAAAGGGAGGAGCTGAAGTGCACACCTGGTCGAGTGAGTAGTTTTGTAAGGCTGGAATGAAACTGAGCGTCCAAGCAGGGTAGATACATCCGATCAGAATGGAGTTAGGAGCTGTGTTTGTAGCAACAGGCACGGGTGAGTTGTAGAAAGGTAGATATTGGACGACGAGAATGATGGAATCGGGGAGTTCAAGGCGTTTGGAGGAATAAGGAATAAGAGGGAGATAACTTGGAGACGCGAAGATGAGAGAACGAGACAAGGAGGTGCTGAGTACTCACCTTCAGGAACGAACGATACTATTGAAGCAAGAGTTGGGGCTCACCGCATAATTGACGACAGGGGATATACCGAAAGGAGAGTTACAATGGCAAACGACATGCTGAGCGGCAAGGGAAGCAACAGTGCATCTGCCCGCAGCCTAATGAAAGATTCTTTTTTTTTTGTATTCTGATGGGAAATGGTTGAGTACACGATGACCTCCTCCTGCTGATCAGGTCGCCTTCCTCATTGTTGGGATTATTCGAACCATCGTCGAGTACTGGCAGGGAGGTGGCCAATCTCCAAATCGTTGTGCTCTGTCCGCGGTATTCATTCCAACCATCGCGCGTGTGCTCCGGGAGCTAGAGTCTCAGTCGTTATGCAAGCTACCAAAGGCGCAATAACAATCGTTATTTTGATCCGAGTGGTTGTGCTCATCGCACCGGGTCATGTTTCGTAGGCTTCAACACGTCGAATCTTCCCATATTCTACTGGACGATTCATTCTCCTTTTGCACATCCGGTGAGTACTGTCGTAAGGCACATGATCGAGATAGCCCTGCTCGAGTTGTCGCCCAAGTGGTGGTTGTCGACCGTGGTAGTCATTCCCATACCGCACGTCGCAGTTTTCATGTTGCTTTTGCTGTTTCTTGCGAAGACCGTTGATGAGGCCAGTTGCTGCCAAACCAAGGTCACCATGGGCATTGTCCGGTTGTTGTTGCTTCACAACCGTTCCCAACGTGTGTAGATTTGGGCTTCAGATTGTGTTTTCTTTGGGTCAACCCTTGTTGCAGTCACTACGGCGGCCATAACTATGTGTGGTTGTGTTGGCAGTTTATATTGCAGTATATAGCTATGATTTCGTTAACCACTTACCATGCACTTGCCGCGGGATGACTGAAGTCATTGCTGCATAGGGCTGCGAGCTTACTGTGCACAAACGGTGGGCTTTAGCTATGCGTACTGAGCTTTAGCTGTGTAGTGCCGCATTACGCCTACAAGCAAAACGTAGAGCACATGGGGTATGTGTACTGAGCTTTAGCTGTGTAGTGCCGCATTATGCCTACAAGTAGAACGTAGAGCACATGGGGTGTGCTCGATACGAACGCGTTTTTTTCTAGGTTGTGCTCGTACTGTTTGGTAAGGGGAGGGTGATACGAGTCGAGAGAGGTGAGGCTCTCAGAGCGGTCGCTGTAGAAACTTGAGGGAAGTGATTGGACTCTCGTGGGGGACATTGCTACGATTGGGAGGGTTGTCGGAGAGGCATCACTCGGTGTTTTGACTCTTGGTTGGCCATCTTTGCTGCGAATTGGCCGTCATTGTAGGGCCTTCAGATGACTAAGGTTTCAAGGCCTTCTCACGTGAGTCTGAGTGCACGTCCTCGTATCTGAGTGACTTGACATCTCTCCTTCTGCCTTTCTCACTCTCAGTCTAGTCTTTGGTTTTGAAGGGAACACCGCAAACGACATTGAAGCCCGTAATCCGTGCCAAGGCCTCTGTGGGAGGTTTGCCCCACCGATTGAAGGAGCTCTGTCGGAATCTAGGCGAGATTCTGGAGGCAGGGAACTATCAGGTATATCTTTTTTCACCTGGATAAACAACTTTCTAGTTTGACTGAGAAGTATGCATGTGTTCCCTTACGAGTTTGATTTCTTTTGAGAACTAATGAGGCTAACGGGAAGAAACGCATGCGTAAAGTTCAGTTTCTTTTTATTTCTGACTGAAAGTAGACTAAGAGATGAACTGGGGGGAAGGTGGGAGGAAGTTAGTTTTGCATGCGTTTGACCAGGTCTTAAAAGGTTGGGTGTTGTTTCTAAGCTGAATGGCCCAATCCTATGTTTATTGATTGTTTTTTGAAAGGCTAGCCATTGCTTCTAAGCTGAATGGTCTGGTTGCTATGTTTATTTTAAGAGGGCTAGCATGGCTGCTCTTCGAGATCAAGCATTGTTTCGAAGTTGAATGGCTTGGTTTATCTGTTTCTTTTGGGGGTTTTGATTGAAGTTAGGTTGAATGGTAACTTCATCTTTTTAGTGACTTAGGATAGGTTGAACATTGTTTCCAAGCGGAATGGTTCAATCGTTTGTTTCATTTTGAGGGAGGATTTTGGCGTAGGGCTAAACATTGTTTCCAAGTGGAATGGTTTAGCCTGAAGCCAGACACTAAGCATAAATGAGTATAATTGAAAATACTTTTATCTATTTTTTGTATATGAACACAGGCAACTGGACGTTGTTTCCAAGCCGAATGGTTCAGCGTTAAGCCATGTCATTAAGAAGAGAAGGAAAAGTAAAGAGTATAGTTGGAAGTAACTTGGGCAAGTTGAGCATTGTTTCTAAGTTGAATGGCTCAAAGCTGAATGGCTCACCCTTATGCCCATATTCTTTTCTTTCGAAGACAGGCCAGAGAGCTACTAAATTTTGGATATTTAAACAGTTCAGGGCGACTAGGCACTGCTTCCAAGCTGAATGATCTAGTCAGACGCCCAAAGAAGAGAGAAGTAGTTGTGCAACATGTCCGTGTATAATCTAAGGCATGCTAGCCATTGTTTCTAAGATGAATGGTTTAACGCCGTGCCATATGTAAGATGGGTATATGGAAGTTCAATGAACTATCTTATGAGGAATCAATTTAGGGTCTGGCTGAGAGTTGTGGACTCAACCTCATGCCATTGTGGTAGGGACCTGTTTGTGGTTGCGTGTGATGTTACGATCCTTGCCATTTTTGGAGTACAAAATCATCAAAAAGTACAATGCCCTCCAATTGCAAAAATAAATGACTGAACTTGAGAGGGGAGAAAGGGAAAGAAGAAGAAGAAGAAAGGAAGAAGAAAAAGATGATGTACTCCAGCATAGACCAATGATAAAGCTCTTCTTCTTCGCCAACCACCCTCCTCCTCCTTATCTCCTCCCCTCTTATTCAAACAAGAAATAACAATAATAATGTT